GGCTGGTGACATATACTAGTGAAAAGCAGGAAAAACTTGCTTTTGAACCATTAGTACCAGAGAGTCCCTATTGGGAGGGAAGAGCCCCTATACCCGAAGATGCATGGTATACAGATAGCTCCAGCTGTGGGCAGCCCCCAAAATGGAGGGCCATAGCTTTCCATCCTGACACTGAGACAATGTGGATGGAAGATGGTGAGGGGAAGAGCAGCCAATGGGCAGAGTTGTGGGCTGTGTGGCTTGTGATCACCCAGGAGCCCTCCCCTATAGTTGTCTGCACTGACAGCCGGGCTGTCTATCGGGGCTTGACCCTGTGGCTACCAACCTGGTACCATGCCAACTGGCTGGTTGGTCACCAACCCCTTTGGGGGCAAGAATTGTGGCAAGACTTACAGGCCTGTGGTCAGACTAAAATAATTACAGTACACCATGTGACAGGTCGTTTGCCACTGGCATCCCCAGGAAATGATGAAGCAGATAAATTGGCCCAGATACGATGGTTAGAAGGAAAGCCTGCCTCTTATGTAGCCCAATGGCTACATCAGCGTTTATTGTATGCGGGGCAAAAGACAATGTTGGTTGTAGCCTGTCGGTGGGGCTTGCCATTGACCTTCAAAGAAGTTAGTAGAGCCCTGCAGGAGTGTGTCATGTGCTCCAAAAGGGATTTAAACCAAGTTCCACAGCAACATGGGACAATAGCTAAGGGGCCTATACCCCTTATCAGGTGGCAGCTAAACTATATTGGGCCTCTACCTGTGTCAGAAGGATATCGGTATGCGATGACTTGTGTGGACATAGCTACAGGACTTCTGGGTGCTTTTCCTACCTGTTGTGCAGACCAGCAGATGATCAAAAGAGGCCTGGAGCATCTCTTTGCTGCCTATGGATGACCACAGGTGATTGAGAGTGATCAGGGCACCCATTTTACTGGACATACACTGCAAGAATGGGTGCGACAGCTGGAAATCAAGTGGAAGTTTCATGTGCCATACAATCCTACCACAGCAGGCATGATAGAGGGGCACAATGGCTTGTTAAAATCTGGACTAAAGTCCAGGGATGGTCAGTCTGCTTATGGACTGTGCTACAGCATTTGAACGAGAGACCCCGAAAGGGAGCCCTGAGCCCCGTAGACATGTTAACACATATGGCTGCCTCCCCTATACAACTGCAAGTACAAACCAAGGAAGAATCACTGAAGCTGAGGTTCAGCCATCAGAATAACATGTTGCTGCCAGCACCCAAGGCACTGAATCCTGGAGACTCCATTGAGTGGACGTGGCCTTGGACCTTTTGACACATGGACCAACGATGGCTAGCTCTCCTGGCACCTTGGGAACAAGGTCTGGAAGCTGGCCTACTGTGTATTCCTGGAATAACAGCAAAGTGGCCGCCAAAGGTCACAGTAGTATATCTTGAACGGCCAGAAGGTAGGAGCATCTTACTGGGGAGTTTTGTTTTATTACTATGGCCAGTGCATGCACCTCCAGTAGCACTATATATAGACGCTTCAGTAACCCCCACGGAGAAAGGAGAAAAAGTATGGTATACTAGACCTGGATGGGACCCCCTTCCTGCTACAGTCCTATCCAGGACCACTCTCTTGCATGCATCCTACCTGATGGACAAGATTTTCCTATGTTGGTGGCATTAAAACGTGTCTTATTGCCCCTAACGTCTTTGTGGATTGGAAACTTCCTCTGGCTTGAGAATTATTATTACTTTTGTTACCTGTATCAAAATCTTGCTGTATCTTAATTTTTATTATCTCTAAGTTGTTATCCTCTGTTGCTATTGTAGAATCTGGTTACAGTGCTTCAGCATTCTCGCACAGGGACCACTGTGAAAGACTGAAAGTGTGTAGATTGTAAGGTGAGAATCCTGGAGGGGTGGAGGGTGGGGAAGTTGGGGTTCCTATGGCCAGGATCCTCACTGGAGTTAAACCACCTGGTGATGCAACTGGCCTGTTGCTAGGCTACCGCTTCCACACCTTTAGGCCATAAGCCTTTATTGTGCTATATAGAGAGCTTGGCCCAGTGCTCTGGGCGAAGGCAGAGACGCTAGTGCTCGACCTACCACCAGGAGTACAAGCTAATTAATAAACCCTTTCACCCCAACGAACGTTTTGCTGTCAATTTCTTTGCTCACATTGAATCCATAGTGAACTTGCCTGGGGCTGAAATCCATTGGCAAGACACATTTATATAACATTTTTGAAAAGTTAGCACAAATCTCTAATGACTGGAATCAAATCAGTAGTTACCTGAGGCTGGTGTTATGGGGAGTGACTGACTCCAGTGGGACTTAAGGAAAGGTTGGGGACTATGGGAATGTTTTATATTTTGATTGGGGTGGTTGTTACACAAGTGTAGACATTTATCAAAATTCAATGAGTTTTGTACCTTTACACTGGGTGCACTTTATTGCTTCTAAATTACACTTCGATAAAATGATTTTTTTTCTTTTTCTTTTTTTTATTTTTGTATCATTAATCTACAATTACATGAAGAACATTATGTTTAATAGGCTCCCCCCTTCACCAAGTCCCCCCCACATACCCCTTCACAGTCACTGTCCATCTGCATAGTAAGATGCTGTAAAATCACTACTTGTCTTCTCTGTGTTGCATGATAAAATGATTTTTTAAAAACTTCTGGCTGATTTAAATGGGCAGCCAGGATTTAGAACCACTGTAATCAACAGCCTAACCATCTCATTGTACAAAATGGGACAGTCGCAGAGAATGGAAAGGAATTACCAAGCTCACCCTAATTGTTGTGAGCATCAGTCCTAAAGCCTGAATCTCAGTTCCTGACTCCTAGGCAAGTTTTCCTTCGCACTCCTGCAATCAGATCAAGGCTGTGTCTGACTTCCCTGAGTGAACATGGGCACATCCTTGAAATATAGGCCCTGGGTTTAGGCAGCAAAACCTCCAGGCTTCCACACTGCCTGCCTTCCAGGGTGGGAATGGGAGGACTGCCGTTCCCCAGGATTCCTCTATCTGGCCCCAGGGCTGGTTTCTCTGCAATGGCCCAGAGAGATCAACTCAAGAACACACCTGAGGATGCTGAGTGTTAAGAGGCGCATAAAAGTCAGGAGAATGCAGATATCACCGTTTCTCCATGGTAGAATTTCTCTTTCCTCTTTTTCTTTTCTCTTGAATTCTGAAGGAAGAAGACTTCACCTGTTAGACAATGTCTTCATTTTCAGTGAATTCAGCAGATCATTCAGCCAGGTCCAAGAGAGAAAAGGGATTATGTGACATAATTTACAAAGAAAAGGGTAAAGGGTAGGAAAGACACTTGTCATTGGAGGAAATTAAGAATTAGGTAGGTGAAAATAATTCAAACTTCTCCAGTTGTCTATTGCTGCATTAACAAACTATGTCAAAGTTAAATGACTTAAAACAAGAAACATTTCATTAACTCTCACAATTTTCTGGACAGGAATTTGAACAGGGCTCAGCTGAGTAAATCTTCTCTTTCATGTGGCATCAGTGGGAGTCACGTGGCGGTACTTCGCTGATGGTTTAGAGTGTCCAAGACAGTTTCACTCACATGCCTGTGGCCTTACTGTAGATGACAGAAAGGCTGTGCTCAGATGACACTCTTAAGCAGAGCACCTCCACATGGTAGAACATCTTGCATGGCAACACAGCTCTCCTGTGATTATTCCAAGAGACCCACAAACCTCACAGAAATTCTAGCTCCCTTTGCTTTGACCTGTTCTCAGAATGTTAAATCCATCAAATATTTTGACCAAGCTAGTTATTAATGTCCATCCAGATTTAGGGGAATAAGAGTTAAATTCACTTTTCAATGAGGTAAGTAGTGAGGAATTTACTGCCATCTTCAATATAACATGAGCACTGCTGGGCAATGGAATATTGCAGTTGCAAGACCAAACCCAAAAGACAAGTTGGGGAGAAAGACCTCAAAAATCACAAAATCTAGCCTAAATGACAGAGGGTGGAATGTTATGAGGAAGAATCAAGGGTGAGGAAGCTAATGGAGCCTTAGGAAATGAAAAAGGAGTCTCCTAGGTGACCTTTTAGGAGCGCTGAGATGTCTTCAGTGAAGAAGTAACTTATCAGATGTTATTAGTTTAATAGGCACCTCTTTCTGTAGCAGATAGATTTTGAGAACAAGGGCTCCATGCTGGTCCTGTCCACAGTATCCACAGAACTTCACACTTGACGTTGCAATGGGTTGAATGCTATGTCCCTCCAAATATAGTTGAAATCTTATCCCCAGTATGATGGTATTAGAAGGTAGAGTTTTAGGAGGTGGTTAGGTCATGAGGTTACAGCCCCCATGAATGGGATTAGTGACCTTATAAAAGGACCCCAGAGAGCTTTCTCCCCACCGTTTGACCATGTGAGGATACAGGAAGTGGGCAGTGTACAACTTGAAAGAAAGCCCTTACTAGAACCTGAACATTCTGGCACCCTGATTGGACTTCCAGTCTCTAGAATTCTGAGAAATAAATTTCTGTTGTTTGTAAGTCACTCAGTCTACAGTATTTTGTTATAGGTGCTCAAAGAACTAAGACAGGAGTCATCTTTTCATCAAGTGCTAATGAGTAACAGTAAACATACAAAATGTATAGAACATTCAAGGGAATGGGAGCAAATGTGCGGGACCAAGGTTTGTGTGTGTGGACAGTATTGCCAGGAGGTGACCCTGCAGAAAGTAGGTAAACACAAAACATCAAGGGCCTTGGGAACTACCCTAAGAATTTTGCCCTTTATTTTAAGGAATAAGTAAGCCAAGGAGAGTTTTAGTCAGAATAAATTTGGTGTTTTAGGGAAATAACACTAGTCCCCATAAAGTGAAGGGCCTGCAGGGAAGAAAAGGGATACAAAAATCCAGTCAGCAGGTTCCATTGATCTATGTGTCTATTTTTTTACCTAACATGAGAATAAATAAAAAATTGAATAGCCCCATATCTAGGTAAGAAATTAAACTCATTTTCAAAAATGTTCACACAAAGAAATCCTATGGCCTTGATGGTTTTATTGATGAATTCTAACAGACATAAATAACAAATAATACTGTATCTGTAAATTCTTTTATAAACTCTGTACATAGTTTAGGCCACAAAACAAGTCTCAAAACAATTTAAAATATTCAAATCAAAAAAAAGTATCTTTTGATCAGAATGGAATTAAGCTAGAAATTAGAATTAAAACAGAAAAATCCACAAATGTGTGCAAATTAAACAACACACACTTAAACAATCAATAGGTCAAACAAGAAATCACAAATTAGAAAATCCTTGAAACAATTAAAATGAAAACACAATACAAAAACTTATGGGAAATAGCAAGCACAGTGCTAAGGGGGAAATCTATAGCTGTGAATGATTGTACTGAAAAAAAGAAAGATCTCAAATGAATAAACTAAGTTTATACCTTAAGTAACTGAAAAAAGAAGAACAAACAAAAACCCAAAGACAGCAGAAGGAAGGAAATAATATTGGAGCAGAGACTAGTAAAACAGAGAATAGAAATATCAATAAAACCAAAAGTTGGTGCTTCAAAATGATCAACAAATTGACAAGCTTTTATCTAGATTGATGAAGAAAAAAGAGAAAACATTCAAATAGCCAAATCAGAAATAAATGAGGGAACATTACTGCCAATTTTGTAGAAATAAAAAGGATTACAGAGAAAACTGTTAAAGTACACACCAGCAAATTGCACAACCTAGATTAAATGGGCAAATTTCTAGAAACACACAGTCTATCAGGACTGAATCACGAAGAAATAGAATGTCTGAATAAATCTATAACTATTAAAGTTAAATCTGTAATAAAAAAAACTCTCAGCAAAGAAAATCCCCAGACCAGATTGCTTCACTGGGGTATTCTACCAAAATAGAATAGGGAGCCCAGAAAGAAACCCTCATATATATGGTCAAATGATTCATGGTCATCTATGAGCTTGCTTAGTTAGTTCCTTTCTGAGGATCTGTCTTCAACCCTGGAGGATCAGCTACTCTATTCCCAAAACTAGAACTGGGCCTACAGCAGGTTGGGGAGAAAGCAGTAAGTGGTTGAAGAATGCATGATGCTACTTATGTGGAATACAACTTCGATTTCACAAGTTAATATTGCCTCTTTGACTTCACTATTTTCCTAAAAAAAAGAGGTTTAACTTATGATGGTGTTACTAGTCTAAGCTCATGCCACTGGCTGCAGAACATGCCAGTAAGTTGAGAGACAAGGTGTTGGGGCAAGGAAAGTGACTTTATTTGGAAACTAACAGACTGAGAAGATGGTGGACTATTTTCCTAAAGAATCACCTTAACCTAGCACTGATTTTAAGCTTCCTTTATAACAGGAAAGCAGGGAGCAGGAGGTGCTTGTTGTCAGGTGCCAATCGACCTGTCAGCCTTCTGGACGTCAGCAAGGATCTGAGAATTATGAAACTCCTTGTCCTTGGTTAGTTGACTCATCATTTTGTTAATATGGGTTTACCATTATGTTCTTATAAGTCTTTGACAATCCAGTTGTCTTTTTTGTACATACTTTTTCTCTTCAGGGAAGGCGAGTTTAGGGTGAGGGGCTGTTTGCATCAATCTTTAAATTGTGAGCAAATTTCCTTTTGCTGGTTAACAAGCCTTTGTGCAGGGCTGCACAGCTGAGCAGAAGCTTTTTGACTCAAAGATTAAGGCACCAAAAGAGATAAATTCAGAAGCAGAGATGCCAACGTTCTCACTCTGTTAAAATGATATCCAATGTGCTTGAAAATGTGCTTAAGTAATTTAGAATGTGCCTAAAAACTTAGTGTTTACAAATGATCGACACTTCAGGTATGAGTACCCTATATGGTGAATTTACAGACAAAGAATCTGGACAAACAGCTGCTCAAACAAAAAAGTCTGTAGGTACAAGGTGGACATTTTTGGACAGCTGTAGACTAATTCTACAAGGTTAAAAACCTGCTGTTGCTATAAGTAAAATCCTAACTATTTCACATACAAACACTTTGAGAAGATTTTTAGCTTGCTGCTGTAACATTGGGCTAACAGGAATCAGTGTAATGTGGGCTTGATAAGACCAGATCTACAAGTCAAAGTGAATTTTATGTTTAGTTAAACCACTACATAAAGGAAATAATGCCATAAAAAATACAGGCAATTCAGAGACATATTACTAGAAAAGGAAGCAGGAGTAAAAATATTCTAATATATGATGGGACAGAAAGAAACATTTCTTTCAAATATAGATAATGTTTAGTTGATCCTATTGTATTTACATTTTTTTAAATTCTTACATTTATGTATCTTAGGAATAACAATATTGCATACAAAATATAAATATCTAATAAAAAGTTAAATTGATGTATCAGGGCAGAAATATTTCCTCACACATATATTTTGTCTTACCACTATTACTGCCACTATTCTATTGATGGTCTATTTTAAGTAATAGAACATATTGTTGAAAGTTTTACTTTAATCATAAATTCACAACTAGAGGTGTCATTTGCATATCTTCAAAAACTAAAGACATTAATTTTTTTAACCAATTAGCAAAAATATGCAACATAGTTTGCTTATAATTTAGAATTTACCACATATATGCTTACAAATATATCCTTTATTTGCAAAATTATTATTTTTAAAACCTTTCTTTCTAAAATGTTTGAAATTTTCACAAGTGTTTTGAGGGGAAAAAACTCACCCTATTTGAAAATATACTACTAAACTTTAATGTCCAATTAAACCAGTGCCACCTAACTGAAAAAGGAAACATACTGCTCTGTTGGATATACAGTTGTTACTACAAATAATAGCAACACATGTTGTAGATGGTGATCATATACTCGGTCATTGTCAGAACCATTTGGAGGGAAGAAAATCAATGCATCACTGAATATATGCCCAAATGCCCTGAGATGCTATACCCCATACATCATCATCTGCATTTGATTAGGAATCAGTCCATTAAAAGTAACAGCCATATCTGAGCAACATCCTTCTACTGCCATGTTGGGGTGATTAGTCATTGCCTCTTTAATAAAAAGTCCAACAGATTTGGTATAAAATACATCTTTTCCTTCAGAATCTTCTGCATTTTCTGCAAACACTCCACCATATTTTGGGCAGACTGCTAGCTGCTTATCTTCAGATATCTTCCAAATCATTCTTCCTTGTTCAGGATACTTTTCAGGGATAGTGAGAAGACTGTTAAGTCTTTTCATTGATTCTGTACTTAAGACAATCCCTCCTATACTCACATATTCGAGGTCTCCAGATTTCAAAGTGTGTCCTAGATAGAAAGGTTGCAATGGATCCTTTTTTAACAAAAAATACTTTAAGTTTTCAATAATAGCAAATGTAGTGGAGCATGCAAGGAAGAACCAGTTGTATTGGTCTCTGTATTTATCAAAGGCGTATTTGTAAGGTTTTCTCATCATTAACCACATATCATTTGTTTCCATGCTAATTGACTCAAACACTTCAACGTTTTCAGAACTGAAGAACTCTACTTTGTCACAGTGTTTGGTCCAACTCTCCTTTAATGCAGCCCAAAGACTCACATCTTTGGGTTATACAAGCATGATACAGTATACCTGAAAACTCTTACTGAGTTCCATGCGTTCATCCTCTGACATTTTCAAAATACCTTCTTTATTAGGAGCTTGTAGGTGATGATGTTCATGGCGGTGCATTCTATTTCCATGACCAATTCTAATATGTCCTAGCATTGTGAACATGGCACAGAAAATGCTTCCAACCATCATACCCTTCAAAAATAAACTTTCAGAAAGCATTTTTCCCGCGGCTACCACAGCTCTAGGGCAGGAAAGCGCGGCTGCGCACGGCTTTCCTCTCACTTTCTCGTGCCAGTCGGTTACGCTCCGGCTCGGGCTGCCCCAGGGGCAGGCGGTGTACTCTCGTGGAGTTCTATTTTATGATAGCATTTCTGTAATAGAAAAGTATACAATACAGAAATATAAATAATTTCGAATACCTGTTTTTCATATTTGTATGTCAATAACACATTTTAGTACATTATTACGGTTTTTGGAGTCTGGAATGGCCGTGTCCTGTCTCTATTTCGGACTTTTGGCGTCGGATGATCGTGGCGTTCCAAGATTTCATCTCGGCCCTCCCTGGTCCAGACAACAGCTATTCGCCTGCTTTGACCGCTGCGACCACCCACCCACCCATCAAATTCGCCCAGCTAACCGGGGCAGTCAGATCCGGTTGTCAGCCCAGTTAGAGCATGCGCCGGAGCACTCCCAGTACCTACGGGAACTCCCAGAAGTCTCGGGGCGCGGGGTGGGCGGTGCGCCGCATAGGTTCAAGGTTTTATGGCCCCAGACTACATTTCCCACAGGCCACTGCGATCAGGCCCACTAGCCTAGGACTACATTTCCCGAAGGCCATCGGGGTAACCTGCTTTTATTACCTCTTACCCTGCTGTTTTGTGATTGCTGGCGCCACCGCAAGGTTTGCGTATCTGTGAGGTGAACGTTCGGCCTCGCAGAGAAAGCTCTACGGACTCGGACCAGCTCCACCGGGTGACTTGGAAACTAGCGAGTGCAGGGCGTGCGGGGAGCGGCTAGTGGGCTCTGCGGACGCGGGCTGGCGGGGATCCAGCACCCTGACAGGCGGTGAGCGTGGGTGTGGACGAGGCGCTCCCGGCAGGGAGGCTTAGGGCGCGGACAGGGCAGGTCCTACCCGGAACCAGGCGTGCGTGTGCCGTGTAGCGAAGGGAGGGAGGGTGATTGTGTAGCACGGACGAGGAGTGGGTGAGACTGAGGTGTGCCCGGTGTGCGCCCGCAGACTGGGGGCCTGGCCGCCGTGTGAGCGCGGGTTCTCTCACCGTGAGGCGTATCGCTGTGACCGGTGTTCCAGGTTCCTGCTGCCTCCTGCACGCTTTCCCCTCAAAGCCACGTGGTCTGCCATAGACTGAAGGCCCCCAGGCGAGTGAGTAAAGCTTCCCAGCAGGAGGGCACGGAACTTACTTTAGAACCTTAAGTTTCTCCAAGAAAAGCTCTTGAGAAGACGGGATGAGAAATCCCCAGGAGCAGAATTCCCTTCCAAGACGGTTCCCAGGTGGGGGCCTCTATGAGGGCTCGTTACATGTTTGAGAGCCATAACATTTCCAGAGCGCTGGCCCGATACCTGCCTTGCCTTTCTATTTGGTCATAAAGGGTGTAAGGTACGGTTGGATTTAGCTTGCGGGTATTTTCTGAGTCATCCTAAACTCTAAAAAAGGACTGATGTCCCACGGTTCTCTTCTTCCAATTCTGTTACTCTCCAAAACAAAGACCCAAATGAAGAAGTAATTGTTCACATCCAAAAATTAAGATTTAGGGGGGTTTTGTGTTTCCTTTTTGTTAAAAGTATTGTTTTAAGAACATGAGTACATTTGTCTAACTTTGCCCAAAATATTCTACATAATCGTGACCCACTCTAGGACTTCTTTCTATTGAATGATTGGGTCCTTAGGGATGGATTCTCTTTCCCTGTGGCCCCAGTCAGTTTCTCTCTCTTCAGTTAATCTCATTACCTTTTTAGGTAATCTCACTACTGATTACACATCATTCAAATCCTCTTCTGTGCTCTTTTTAAGCATTGGGATAGTATGTTGTAAAAATACAACTGACGTTTGCTCTATTTTAGACTCTGATTTGATAAAGATTAATATTAATATTTTGGTCGGCATCATATACTAGATAACCCTACCTTCTCCCAAGGCTTCATTGTCAAAGCTTAGCAAGGTAGGCATCGGTTTAATAATTTAGGTAAATAACAAATTTACTCCCCATGTGAAGCTTTTAGGAGTGGAAAAGTGATGGTAGGTTTGAGCTGTTTGGTAGTCTATGTCCTCATAGTCATTTATTTTATTATTTAAAAAAATTTTAATTTTTCTCAATTTTTATTTTTTAATTTTGTTAGTTGATCCTTGTTTGAGACTTGACAGCAGAGTCTATTTCACACATCTTTGGACTGTGAGAGGTAGTGTGGTATGCTGTTGGGGAGTATGAGTTCTGAATCTTAAATATGTGGCTTTGAATCTTGGCTTTGCCACTTACTAGATGTTTGACCATCAGTACACTCTCTTTTCTGAATCTCTAAAATGGGGATAACAGTATCTCCTAATTCATGGACTATAATAAGGATAAGATGTATTAATAGGTGTAAAGTCCCTTAAAACAGTGCCTGGAAGTATATAGCACAGAGAAGACAAGTAGTGACTCTGTAGCATCTTACTATGCTAATGGACAGTGACTGCAGTGGGGTGTGGGGAGGGACTTGATAATATGGGTGAATGTAATAACCACAATGTTGCTCATGTGAAACCTTTATAACATTGTATATCAGTGATACCTTAATAAAAAAAAAATAGTCCCTGGAACATAATGAGTGCTCAGGCCATATTAGCTGTTTGTTATTTGGTGATTCTGGGTCATTCCTCTAAAGAATTCAATAGCAATTAGAGATATAAGCTGAAGTTGTTAAAAACAGAAATTCCTAAACTGAGGACTTCGACTCTGTTTTAGGGGCCTCTTGGTGACCACAAACCATTTATAATTGCACACATGTTGTAGTTTATATATATGTATGTTTCAGGGAAGAACCATTGTGATTTTATTCAGTTAACAAACGTGGTATACGTAAAAAGAATATTTAAAACCATTGGTGCCAAGCAAAGTTTTCATAGCTGAGAATAATCCTTTACAAAATTAGAGTTTGAGATTACGTAAATGGTGAATTAGGTCAGCCTATGTTTGAGTGATGGAATATTATGCAACTAATAAAAATACATTTATAAAGGATCAGTCAAAAGTGAAATGCATGCAGTAGTTTTAAACTATGTGCATAGTTATAGACAGTGATATTCAAGAAAATTTTAAATTATATATGAACCTTATTTACTATCACAGGTTTTATAAGATACTTTGCAAGGACTGCATGTATTTTAATAAGTTGGTCAGTGAGAGAAAAGAAATGTTTGGCCACATTTATTGAGCATTTCTTGTATACCCACGATTATTCTCCCTACTTTGCATTCATAAGCTCATTCAGTATGCAGTGGCCACTTAGCCTGAATTATGTGGGCAGTATATCGATGAGATACAACTAAAGGATGTCCAAGAACTGGTTTTCCCTAATGATCCAGTTTATTCTTGGTTTTATTAATGACTGGAATGTATCCACCAGCAATAACTTTTAATCTAGAAGGTAGATTCTAGATTCTAACTTCAGAATGCAGACATAGTGCCAAAAAAATCAGTAATTGAACGAATGTATGAAAAAGTTAAAATTGCCCATAGTGCTACTTCCAGACTGAAATAATAGGAAATATGTATACTGTTTTCTGCCCCCTCTTCCTACTGCTATTAGTCTTTGACCCTGGTTCCTGACACAGAGCTCCTGACATATTATTCTTTGTGTGCAGAGCTCTTAAAATCCTTGTGATTTCCTGAGTAATAGGAGTGTCTAACACAGAGCTCCTAAATCTCTTGGTATTTTCTGGGTGATAGGAGAGAGTATCTTCTGTTTTAAAGAGGCAACTCCCATTTGGCTCCTGGTTGGGGCTTGGCCACTGGAAAGACCAAACCATGATTAGGGCTTGAACTTTCAGTCCTGATCCCCATCCTCTGGAGAGGGAAGAGGAGCTGTAAAACAAGTTAATGGTCCTGCCTATGTAATGAAGCCTCCATAAAAATAGCTGAAGTGAAAGGATTAGAGAGCTTCCGGGTTGGTGAGCACATCCATGTACCATAGAGTGGTTCACTCCAACTTCTTGGAGACAGAAGCTCCTGTTCTTGGACCCTTCCAGACCTTGCCCCATATAGCTCTTCATATGGCTGTTCATCTGTATCTTTTATAATATGCTTTTTAATATACTAATGGGTAAAAAGTGTTTCTCTGAGTTCTGTGAGCTGTTCTAGCAAATTATTGAATCCGAGGAGGGGGCTGTGAGAACCTGATTTATAGCCAGTTGGTCAGAAGTGCAGGTGACAGTCTGAAACTTGTGATTGGTATCTGAAGTGCGAGCAGTCATGTGGGACTGAGCCCTTAACTTGTGGAATCTGATGCTAACTTCAAGTACATAGTGTCAGAGCTGAACTGAATTGTGAGACACCCAGCTGGTGTTGGAGAATTGGTTTATGTAGGAAAAAACCCCACACAAATTTGGTGTCAGAAATATTGTGAGTAGACGAAAACAGTGTGTTTTTCCTAAACATAAAGTAGTTATTAATGTTTTGGGTACACTTCCCTTCCTTTTCTGTTAGCTTGTATATAGGGTTTTGTTTTGTATCTGCAAAATAGAATCACACAGTATTATATACAGTAGCAAAGACTCTTCAACTCTTAGATTAAAAAAGGAAACTGTAGGATTCATTATTCTTTGTGTGCAGCAGAAAGAAAAGGGATGTGTCAGTGGCGGAGAAGCCATCATTCTTGGAAACAGCCCGTGTGGTCAGGGAGTGGGCACATCTCAGATGTTTAGAAATCTTCCTTCAGAGGCCCAAGGCCTGTGTAAAAAGATCTGAGACTTGAGAAATGATGAATATCTCACCAAATTTTCCAAAGGAACTTGATCTTCACCACCATTCACTTGCCATTTCGTATTTCCCTGTCATTTTATTAGACTTACTCTCTTTCCTAGTGTAATATTTCATCTGTATTTTGACCTTGACTGCTTTCAGCTCCTCTTTTGCATTTATATTTATTTATATATTTTGAGGTGGTGATAACAGATCAAGAACAAGAAGTAAGGGCTTAGGCCATAATGATAATGTCGAACATTCCAGGCATAGTGAACAGGAAATTTAAGTTTGTAGATGTGGGAATGAACTTTGTGTGATTCAGGAGCAATAAGCAGAGTAGAACAGAATTAATGAAGGGGAGTAACAAGAGAAAGGTAGAATTTAGAAGAGGCCAGGTCATATATATTTTTTTGTTAATTATCAGGAATTTGGATTATTTTCTGAAAGGGAGTAGAAGCCATGATCTAATTTATGTTTTCCAATTTGTAATTTTTAAAAATTTCTATTCAATATGAGAAAGCAAAAAAAAAAACAGCAACAGATTAAAATATACAGGTGATTGAGTTATAAGACAGATATCCTTATAACTACTATCCTAGGCAGGACATAAAATATTCTTCAAAAATAACTTCAGGCTTACAGAAAAGTTACAAAATTATATGAAGAATTTTCATATATTTTTCACCCAGATTCTGCAAATGAGGAGATAAAACTTTTCTGCTCACCCTTTAAGCCCTTCTCATGCCTCTACCTAATCGCAGCCCTTTTCCTCCCTCCTTGCTTAATCACTTCCAACCTCTGTGTACCTTACCAGGTTCCCCATATTCTCACTAGTAGTTCACCAGCTCTTCTCATATTAGCCTGCTAACCTTTCCAATGAATATCCTTTGGGTATTTATTTTGGGTTCTCAGGTCTGTGTGATGCCCCACATTGCTCTGCTGTGCTTTTCCTTCACAGATACATAGAGGACTGAATGGGGGCAAGAGTAAGAACTGGAGAACCTATAGGGAAGGTAATTCTGTATGCAAACTGGGGTGGTAGTGGGTTAGATTAGAATGTTAGTAGCAGAAAATGGTGAGAAGGCACGGTGTTCATAATATATTTTGAATATTGAACTAACATGCTGGTGAATTTTAAGTATGTGTGGAAGCAAAGAGGGAAATTAAGAGGGATCAACAAGTTTTGGCTTGAGCAGGTGGTGATACAATTGCCTGAGATGGGAAAGAGGGAAAAGATGGGTTGGAGAGAAAACCAAAAGATGTCTGCTTTGAATTGTTAAGTTTGAGGTGACTGTTAATCATCTAGTTAGAGATGCTGAGTTGGCTGTTGAATATGGATGTCTGGAGCTCAGGGAGAGTTTAGGCTCTCACATAACAATTTGGGTTTTATTGTCATATGGCTGGCTAGTACTTAAAGCCATGGGACTGGATGAGGTCACCCCAAGAGCCAGTGTAGATAGTGGGTTCTCTAACATTTACAGGTCTGTTAGAGGAACCTATGAAAGAAACTGCTGAGAAGGAACATGTTTTAAGGTAGAACTAAAACCAGAAAGTGGTACCACTGAAGACATGAAGAAAATGTTTCAAGATGGTGGAATGATCACTGGAAAGTGAATTAAAATAAGAAATGAGAATTGAACACAATACTTGGTCTTCCCAGAAGTGGAATTTATTAGTGGGTCAAGGAATGAAAGCCTGACTGGTCTGCTTTAAACAGAATGGGAGGTGAGGTGAGGCAGTGATAAGAATGAGGACAGCAGTTCTGTTGAGCTGGGATTAATTGGGACATGGTTTTAAAGCTGAATGATTGATACTTTACCACAGAGTGGTAAAAATGGATGAATTAGAAAGAGGGAATTATTCCTCAAAAAACTAAAAATAGAAATAAGATATGACCCAGTAATTCCACTTAAAGGAATTTGCCTGAAGAAAACAAAATACCTGATTTGAAAATATATATGCATCCCTGTGTTTATTGTGTATTATTTACAATAACCCAGATATGGAAGCAACCAAAATGTCCATCAATAGATGAATGGATAAAGAAGAGTGGTATAGAGACATAATGGAATATTATTCGGCCATAAAAAAGGAAATCCTGCCATTTATGACAACATGGATGGACCTAGAGGGTGTTATGCTAAGTGAAATAGGCCAGGTGGAGAAAGACAAATACCAGATAATTTTACTTATTTGTGGAATCTAAAGACAAAACTAAACAAAGTGAGTAAAATAGCAGTAGACTCATAGACACTGAGAAATGACTGGTGGTTACCATGCAGGAGGAGTTGGGATGGGTGGCTGGGGAGGATGAGGGGTATAAAGGGGTGCAAAAATTCTCAGTCATAGTATAAGTTGGTCACAGGGATAGAAGTCCAGCATGGAGAATATAGTCAATGATTCTGTAACCTCTTTCTATGTTGACAGTAACTGCACTAGTTGGGGTGAGGATTTAATAATGTGGGTAATCGCTGAACCACTGTGTATACCTGAAAATAATATAAAATTATATATCAACTATACTTCAATAAAAAAGAAGAGGAAATTATTATGGAAACAATAGCCTTGAGTATGATGGGTAAAGTGGTAGAATTTTGTGCATAAAAATAAATGTGACAGTGGATTTGGGTATAGATAACTTAATTGATATGGTAGAGCAGAGTATGTATCTTTTGTCCTATTTTCTCAGAGATAAAAGGAGAAAAATCATTAACTGAAAATAAGTGAGGGGCAGTATGAGATCTTGACATTGTTGTTCCGTTTACTTCCACTTATTCTGTTTACTGACTTACTCCTTTTTTACCATTGCCTCTTACTCAGCCACTACTGGTGGTGGTGGTCATGGTGGTGGTGATGCTGGTGGTGCTGGTGCTGGTGCTGGTAGTTAGTAGTTGTTGTAGTTGTAGTTACTGCAATTACTTCATTGATTCTGTGCTCTTCGTCCAGTACTGTTATAAACATTTTACATGTACTGCCTTATTGAATCTCACTGCAACAATATGACTTGTGAAATTTATGTCAGCATTTTGTATCTGAGGAAATTAAGGCTTGGGATGATTTAAGAAATTTTCCTAATTACAGAGCAAGTTGTTGGAGCTAGAATTTAGACACAGTCTGGCTTATGATCTTTAATAATCAGTGTCCTATTCCTCATTTGTATATTCATTATTCTTTTAGCTGAAAATTAATTATTTAAAAAAGTATGTATATATCTCTTCTTGGCCTTTTGGCTAAGTATCTGTTCTTAATTAGTTTAACACCAGATATGTCTTCTATATGAGGACAATATATTAAATGGATTTTTGGAACTAGGAAATGGACAATAGGAGCTTGCTCCGTCCACTCCATGCAACAACCTGGTATTGCAGCACTTTCAGAAATGGTACAAACCCCCTTCACTAGGGAATCATAAAAAAAAAGTGTATGCGGTAATTGATTGTTTTTATATAACTCTTTCATTTTGAAGTAATTTCTAACCAGAAAATTTGTACAAGTAGTATAGAACATACATATAAACCTTTACCCGAGGTTAATATTTTATACATTTGCTTTTATCATTCTCATCCTGCACCCTCCCTATGACATGCACTTTACCTTTACCTCAAATGTTTCTGTGTGTATTTCCTAAAAATAAGTTCATTCTCTGAGTATTTATTTTGTTGGTAGGTTCTTTGGAACTGTAAATCATGTTCCGCATCAAATTTTTACCACTGATTTTAGCATGCTAATTTTTGCTAATTCTGAAGTAAAGATCCAGGGTCAGCAAACTTCTTTGTAAAAGCCAGATAGTAAATGTTTTAGGCTTTATGGGCCATATGGTTTGTGTTAAATTACTCAGTTCTGTTGTATCTTGAAAGCAGCCATTGACAACATGTGAATGACTTGGTGTGGCTGTGTACCATTAAAACTTTATTCTAAAACCAGATGGCAGGCGAGACAGCCCATGGACCATAGTTTGCTGACTAGATGGTTGCCTGGTGATATTTTGTAACTCTGTCGTTTCTTCAACATCTGTTAGCTAGCATTTTAATATAAGAAGAGCATTTCCTTCTCCCCCACTTTTTTTTCATTTATTGTATTTATATCAGTATGGCTCCATGCATTCTTATTGTTTCAATGAGCTATAATCTTTTTCTATCATTTTGATGTTAAAATTGTCCCACATTTGGCAAATGGGAGCCTCTTCACAGTAGCTTCTGTGTCATTTTTGTATGAGTTTACTTGGAAAAAAAAACCTTATAATGGTATTTATAATCTTAATATGGAGCTAGAATATGTAATTAAGTGGCATTCACGACTTTGTAAAGAGCACCTCTTTATAAACAGGACACAGATGAAAATGAAGGCAGGAGATGTAGACTCTGGAGTCTGTTGAAAGGGAGACAGCTGAGGAGTGATAGGGAAGGAAGAATATCATGGAAGAAAGTACCAGGGTTCAGGCAGTGAAGATAAGGCAGTAAGAAAGAGATAATGTTCTTTTGGATAAATTGAAGGTCTTTTTGTGGCACATTTCAATACAGTTCTGTGGTTGGAAATCACGTTGTTTGGAATATGTGCCAATTCTTTTTCATTTTAAAAATAAACAGAAGAAATTTAGCATCTTTTTAAAAAAAGTTGATGTAAGTCCTAGTAGAAATGTGCATGTTTGAAATTTGTTACTATTTTGGAGACAGTTGTCATTTGCATTTAAAAATTTTCTTTAGTTTCAGTTATGTGTCATCGAACATTTTGGTCAACTTCTGCTTTTTTTAAATTAAAATTGGCACTGACACAGTCCTTACTCCTATAATTATTCATCATTTGACTAGAACTGATTTTCAGAAAAAACAATTACCTGAAGAAGAGTCATTTAATACCTACTTCATAGCTATTTTCTGTATTATATATTCATGCATCTTACCTTGAGTATTAGTTTTTGCCATAATAAATTACTACAAACCTGTAAATTAGTTCTGCTGTAACAAATTACCACACCCTTGGTGACTTAAAACAACAGAAATTTACTGCCTCAATTCTGGAAGCCAGAAGTTCAAAATCAAGAGATGAAGGGCATGCTCTCTTTGAAGGTTCTAGGGGAGGATCTTTCTTTGCCTTTTTCTAGCTTCTGGTGGTTCCTGGCAGCCTTGACATTCTTGGTTTATAGCTGTATCACTTCAGTCTCTGTCTGCAGTGTCACAGGGTGTTCTCACGTGTGTCTGTGTCTCTATGTCCTCTCTTTTTCTTCTAAGGACACTGATCATTTAAGATTTATGGCCCACCCTAATCCAGGATGACCTCATCTTAACTAATTATATCTACTAAGACCTTATTTCCAAGCAACTTCAAGTTCTGAGTGGACAAGAATTTTGGGGAACACTATTCAATCCAATACACTTTGCATGTTATCAGTCAGTTTATATTATGTCAAGGGCTTGCTTTTGTTTTGTTTTCTATAAATTGTAGATTTTATTGTCCCTTAACATATGGAAGTATACCATTCCTAAAATACTTTTTTTGTTTGTTTTTGCATTTTGTCAACTGGGTTAAAAACTACGTAACAGTAGAAAGAGTAATGTGATAATGACTCTCTCTTCAAACCTTTACGTAGATTCACCAATCTTTAGTATTTTACCATTTCGCTCTCTATCTATGTAAAACTTTTTGCTGTACCACTTAAGTAAGTTGCACAAATTATTATACTTCATCCCTAAATACTTAGGAATGTACTAAGAGTAAGGACATTTTTCTCCATAATCACAAGAAGAAAACCATTTTTTTACCTACCTGCCCACCAGACAGACAGAGGGTCATCTTAGGCTCAACGGGACATTCAGGCTAACACTGCGTTTGGTGGTGATCTTGGCCCTCTGTATTCAGAACATCACACAACAGGAGCCCCAGCTTGCATCAGGGTGGCATCGGCTGTCTCTCAGAGTGAATCTTTACAGTGGTTCATGCAGGAGACACACAGTTATCCAAAAAGGAAGATGCAGAGAGATGAGATACATGCCAAGCAGGTTTGCGAGTTACACTAGCTTAAAGAAGACACACGTTTCACAGAATTCAATACCTGTAACAATCTATAGGATAGTTTCCAGGGAGCCTACAAAGATGGGCTTTTTAAAAGAGATACTACATTTAGAGAATCTCGTTATGGAGTTACCATGAGTTATTTATATTATCTATTAATCCATGTGTAACTTGTCTATCAGTGGTCTTTTTTTAATTATAGACAATATTGATTAGTAAGACAGTACACCATACACCATTTTGTCATCTAGAGCAGTGCTGTCTATAAAAATGTAATGCAAGCCACTTAATGTAATTTTTTTTCTAGTGGTAAATTTTTTAAAAGAAGGTGTAATTAATTAATTAATGTATTTTATTTCCATATGTCCCAAAGATTATTATTTTAATATATAATCCCTATAAATTAATGAGATAATTTACATTTCTGTTTGTACCAAGTCTTTGAAATCTGGTGTGTGTGCTATCCTCACAGCTCATCTCATTCAGTCATGTAGCTAGTGTCAAGACATCCGGCAGTGCTGGTCTAGAATGCTGTTCCCTTTCTTTGCATTTATCTTCTGATTTGTCTGATAGTTGTGAAATGACTTCCTTTGTCATTTTGCTTTTCTTTGTTATTATGGGTGGATGATGAAAAATATTTGAACAGTAAGCTGTGTTCGCTAAAAGCTAAATACTTTTTAAAGGACACGTGATAACTGCAGACTTCTTTGAAACCCTGAAAGATAATGCAATCCTTTGAGCAACACAGTAAGAAAACTGAAGGGCGATGTAATAATGATTTATTTAACTACTGCATCATCTTCATAGGCAAATCCATTCCTCCACCTTCTTATTTTAGCTTTTATTTTTGCATACTTGGATATAATTGCTGAGTAATGATGAAATACCTCTTTGGATGATGACACAGAAAAATGGTTCAAGGGAACATTCTATTTAAGGAAAAATAAGATGATTGCTATTTCATAGTTTATCTTAGTTACATAAAAGAATTCAGTAGAACCCAATCTAACTCTAAGATGGAATGAGATTTATTCTGTTTTGAAAATAAGTGAATGTTCCTCTTTGTTCCTTGGGGGATGTTTAAGAAACAGTAAAACTCATAAAATATTAATTCTTACAAATAAAACTGCTTTAGAAAAAGCTTCAAAAACTAAAACTTGATCCCATGTCCCTGATAGTATATGGGGAGTTAAAGACTGGCACTGGCAAGTATGTTTGTCTCAGTTTTGTTTTAACGAAAGAAAGGGAATTATGTTGGTTTCACTTCTTGGTTGGCTTCCCCACCCCTTTTTGGTCATTTGTAAGCCTTATCTGGAAGACAGACCATCATCTTCCTGGGACATAATTATCAAAATGTACACAACTGTTGGATGGATCATGAAGACAGTAGATTATATGTTTGAAGGTTGAAGTACAGACAAATACTAAGAGAAGGATTGTTGTGAGGAGTTCCAGTCTTTTTCTAGGCCAGGATCAAAGTCTAGTACCCAGAATCACCCAAAACCAAAAACTTATCCCATCTCTAATCCAAAGAGCCCCCAGAACATGGTATGGAGGAATTATGGCAATTACCTATTTCTATGATTTCTTTTTTCCTGGATCATTTTAGTGACCTTTAAGATCTCAAAGAGGTCTTCAAAGATATGAGTACAACATTCTTCTGATTGGAGAGCAGTGTTTCTCCCTTGTAAGGTCAGTATTTTTCTAAACAATGTTTTGAACTCATGCCTATCCAATTGCATAGATAAGATTTGTGACATTGCCCCCGTCTAGTGTTCTCTGGACCGTAGTGCTACGTAATTCTCCCCATTCTGAGGTCCTCTGGTGTGGCATGACGTGAAAAGGCCTGGGGCAGAAGAAAGCAGCCCAAGTTCTCCTTTAATGGTTAGTTGAAGGTTTTTGGCAGTAGTCAAGGCCCAGTTTTTCTCATTTAATTAAGTTACTACCTAAAGAGCTCTTTTTCTGGGAAGGGGAATTAATGGGCCAAAATGATCCTAAGAGATAACAGAGACCAGTATTCAATTTAATGAGATAACATCTGATCCAGTTTTCCAATTTACTTTGGTGTACATGTTCTGTGCTGGGATCTTTAGGTGCCATCTCAAGTGATCTGGTTTTGGTCAGAATGCCTGTATGGGCTTATATTATGGCAATATTTTAAAAAGATAAACTTTTTGTCTGGACTATATCCCAGAAGATGATGTGTATTTTATCAGAAGACACATAATATCTGGCTGTGCCCATCATTAAAGACTGACCGCTGGATTAGAATGATAACAGTGCAAACCTACATTATTAGCCAGTTAATTTTTCTCCTTGTGGCTTAACACTAATGTGTGATTTTACTTTATTATCAAGGAATATTCTTCTCTTTAGCCAGCTCT